GCTTTCGCCAACCTGCGTCACTGTTGGCGCTGACGCGATCTCAGTCTTTCCTTGAAAAGCCGCGTTTACATTGGTACATTACGCACTGCCTTCGTATACGGCTGCAGACTAGCCCCGCCACGTAGAAGACGTACTGAATGAGTGTCTCTGATCACCGTTGCGTTCGTTGCATCGCCGGGGTATGTTGGCTACAACGAATCGTTCCCCGAAATACTGGTTGGTTTGGAGACATCGAAGTATATGTCAGCGAACCGACAGCAGTGGCGTTCTTGTTGTCATTTCTTATCAGGTTAGAATGCTTGAAACGGTATGTATGCAGAGTTCGATTGCGTACTCTGTGCTTTGACCATGGTGACTCACCTTCTCCCTCCCTCCAATCCGTGTCCACGTTGAATGTTACCACTAACCTTGCATGCATTGTGAGTTTGGCAGCGATCAGTGAAGTTCGCCTCACTGTACTTCGCGGTTCAATGATGATGATGATGATCGCTAGCGACGAGGTTCACCGAAGGATGTTTGCCTCAGACAATTTCAGTTGTCCCAAGTGCCATCATCTCATTCCAGAGACGTCGGTGGGTACGGCATGTGATGCGAATGCTGGCTCAACACCTGTCTCGTCGAGTCAAGTTTGCGCAAGCCGTCACTGACTGGAAGCAGCGACAAGATGGGCAACGAATAACCTTGGCTTAAACGGAGGCGTTGACCTTGAAACTTTTAGTGGCTGGGCGCACTAGACTCCCCAGCTTGGCTTCTTAAAGACAGCGATCATCAATGGCTTGAGACAATAGCATACATGGCTGGTAATCGGCGTCAATGGCAGATCTCTTGCGAGACTTATACGTTAGTTTATATTTAAATCCTTTTCACATCTCCGTATTTTGTGGCGTGTTTGCCAACCCTATGTTTTCGATTACGCGGTATATATATATATATGTATATATATATGTATATATATATGTATATATGTATATATATATATATAATATCAGGAATATGAATTAGGGTTTTCTACATCTATGCATTTATATTTATCATTATCACATTGGATTTTTATTTTTGCGTTTTTTGTCCAGATCAATATTGTTTCCCCCGAAGAATTCGAAACAATCAAACAAGCTGCTTCTTCACTTTCAACTGACGTTCCTATATACTTTACCGATCAAACGCAATCGAGCACTTTGCCAGTTGTGTCTAACGACCCCAGGACGACAACAGCAGGTTCATCAGAACCTCTCCCCTTCTTTTATCCCAACTCTGTACCCCCGGAGCCTCCAACCCTAGCAGCTACTTCAAATTGGGTTCCCCCAGCACCTTTGCCCGCCTATTCTGTCTGCTACCCTTCAACGGAGGGTGCGACGGAATTAGGCGAAACATACAATACTTCCATTACTTCCAGCCAAGCGGAGCAACAATTGGAGGCAGAAAATGCCGTGGCAGCCTTAGTTGCAGAGGTTTCTCGCGCTGCAGCTGCCTCTAGCAGACCTTCGAAAAAGGCTGTCGGGGAAAAACGCTCAAAACGAGCAGCCAAACGTCGCATGACAGGTTTTTATCCGGCTCAGGTGAACCCCACTGGTCAGGTAAAACGTGATGAAATGGATGTCGGATTCGCGTTCGACATCGATGCTCGAGCACCAACCAGTCAGACACAAACTGACGGTAGTCGAGGCACAACTAAAGCGGATAAAGATGGTGAAAGTGGACGAAGTCGAACTTCGCGAACAGTGGTGTCAATGGCCAGGTATGTTCATGTTCAACAGATTGATTACTCATCAGTTACTCTGATTCAAGATTGATGTTGTCTATCACAGAAGTAAAAACACATCAAATGCGGACGCGCGTTATCGCGAAGGCAACTGTAACGTGATGTCAAAAGAGAGGAGACAATGAAAAAGGTTGACTGTATTTATTTATGGCGGAATAGAGTTGGTCCGGTGAGAAAGTGTCCAAGTACCATCGGTTATTAAATGTCTCCAAGCATAATTCAAGAGTTTGTGAAGTAACAGTAAAATCATTTCGTCTATAAATACCCATTACCATGATTCTTTTTAAAACGTGCTCATCAAGCTGATTGAAATTCACCACTATCTGCGACTTGGTCATTGGTGGTTTCCCTACCGGAGGGATTTGAGAGATGCATTTTTTTTGTTGAAGCCCTTTACCGTTCGTGTGTTTGATTCGCAGAGTAAAACGTCATCCCGTTTGATTTTACAATCACTTCCGCGTTTGAGCGCTTTTAACGATTCACTCTTGGGAATCCTGATATCGAGTTAGTTCACATAGGAAACTATTCTTATTCAAACAATCGCGCAAAGCACTCTTCGGAAAGACGACCTAGGTGAGTCGTAAGCGAACCTGTTATAATCCCTGCGTAGTCCACAGAAAAACTGGACTCAGAAATGGACGACTTGTACAGTAAAAATGATGCACAATACTCAGTAGAAAGTTTTGTTATCTGAACGTATATCCGTTGGTTACCTTTTGTGGTTTTCGTGTCTGTAGACCTAAAGGAATGTGAAAGAAGTATCTATTACTTGCTCCAAGGTAGGTGCGTCAATGTTGCCTAGATGAAACCCGTTGATTCCTCTTTTTCCTGGGGGGAGCATTACGGAATTTGATTATAATTTGTCACGTTGAATTATACTTGAATTCCATTATGGCATCAGGACACCCTGCACCCTGATGAGGTGTAATGGCCTGTATAGCTCCGACTCAACAAGCCACTAAGGATATCTTTTGTCATGCCGAAGATCTAATCATACCTACAGGATCGAAGAGTAGAGGTCAAACAAGGTTCAGTCTCTTGCTCGTACAGGTTAGGGGTTCCACTCGAGTAAACGTCTCAATCGGTGAAATGATAGGGGAGTAATTGACCCAAGTAAACGGACTTCCACTTCGATTCTGCAGAACTAACGGCTTTGGCTGATCATTTGTTTATTTATTTCACACCGATGTGTGATGAACAACAGACGGCGAACCCCATAGTCATGAAGACTTGCTGTTCAGCAAAGGTAACGGTTAACCTAAGCCCCGGGAATTGGAGCGGCGAACCACATAACGCCTCGTTAGGTTGGGCGTGGTATTGAACCGGACTACAGCAGATTTGCTTGGTGGCTAGACACCCTAGCAGTACCTGTCCATCAAAATCTGATGCACACACAATCAAGAACTAATTACCTACTTCATCGGTCATCGCGCAGAAAAGTGAGAACCGCGTTTCCTATTGCATTAATTGGCGTGGGTGAGGATAACTGAAGTACTGTCCCAGATATCTCAACCTATGTATAATTCTGCCAAGCCCTTTCCAATTGCCCCATCCTCCGACTTGTAACTGTTTCTCAGACAATTTGTATACCGCTCGTCAAAGGTCGTTGCAAAATAACACTAAATTACAGCGAAAAGGATTGTTGATTCTGAGGCCTCATCGCTTGAAACTAAATCCTCAGATGTTAATTACGGTGGAGTCTCTTTCCTAATTAGGTAATTGTGACCTTAACGCAGCAAAGGAAATAACCGCCCGCATTTCCAGGGCTCGAACAGCGTATGCAGGACATCCCACTGAAATTGGAAGGTGGTTTATTCTGCGTTACCGTTCTTTCGGTCATGCTTTATGGTTATGAGGCTTTGAATTTGTGAGTAGGAAATATCAGTTAACTGACCGAAAGCGTTCTCCACATGATCGTGTGACATATTAAGACTATTCGCGCTCTGTGCGACCGCATCCCAAAATCACATTAACTGATTCCTTTCGTGACAGCCAGAAATGTGTCACTGACCTATCTGGTTTTTTCTCGGGTCGGTGTGTGCCCATTGAAGAAGATGAACCCAAACCCACTTTGACAACTACGGTCTTGAGTGCATCATTATGTGGTTATAGTAGCCAAAATTAAGTAGGTATGACAAGAAGGCTAGAAATTCAATGATTTCAGCCAGTCTGATATCGAGTTTTGTTTGTTTGTTGAGTAACAATACAACATGATCCTATAAAGTCCGTCATTGAGGAGCACTCTGTTTATATCGGTCAACAGCTTGTCAATCGATACGCTACGAACACATTCAGAACAATCACCTCATTTGGCTTAGATGGTTGGGTTGTTGCATTCACTTACATCACGAATTTGAGCACGATTACCTGACGTCTGATACCATAATCCATGATCTATGAGGGGTCTGCTTGTCATTGCGGTCGTTCCTCAGACCAGACTTCACCCACTAAACTCATTCGATGTCTATCCCTCCTTCCGTGCATATTAATGTGCTGGAAACGCTTTAAAACCGCCCCTTTGATACTTACTTGACAACGGTGCAGGTGCAACCGCAGCTGTCGATATACGTTCCCCTACACATCCTTGATATGCACACAACCGGGAGAACCGCACCGTGCCGTATTCGCTGCAGCATCTGCAGGCTGGAGAAAACCACATGAAGGTCAACTAATGACGTAGAGGCGAGGCTCGGAGGAGTGCACAAAGGTATTAGGTAGTATAGGTGTCTCGTACCTTCCAGGTCTGAGGTCTGAACAACTGCTATCGATTGTCTGAGACATTGAGGGATATGGCAGCGAGCCGACTCCAGTGACTTCCTTGAAATCCTTGCTTATCAGACCAGAATGCTTGAAAAGGTTTATAGACATAGTTTGAAGGTGTACTTTGTTCTGACTGTGGAGGTTCCATTTCTTGCTCCTTCCCTCAAACGAAGGTGCAATCCCTGTACACCTCACTACTGACTTCGTACGCATTGCGAGTTTTTCAGCTCTCAGTGGAGTTCGCTTCACTGTCTTTCGTGCCATGATGAAGATGGACAATTCGTCTATTCCGAAGTGTGGTTTCTGCTTTATCCGTCCATCGGCGTCTTCACCCATGTTCTGCTTTACGAACACAAATTGTCCCTTGGAACTTATTGTACTGCGTTTGCTCCATCTAAGTGTACACATGTAGTTTGTTGTAGTGCTGTTTATAATCTGAGTTCGGTTTTCATCAAATAACAACTGTTCGTGTCTCTTTCCCTCACCGCGACACAGCGATATCAGTACCTGTGGCACTACAGTCATCATAAGCACAGCACCTGCGGATGATGATGAGTCCAGTGAAACAACTCCGGATCAACTACCTATTGAACCCGTTCCGTCCCAAATAAACAATAACCAGCCTGTCCAACGCAACACATCGAATACGACTGGAGGCGGCACATCTTCGAAAACGTTTACAAGCCATATGAACATGTCATGCTTGCGTGCCGGTGGACTCACCTCTCGCCATTACATGCGTTATCGGGCTGCGTGTTTGGCCGATCGCGAACGTGCTGGTCCCGGTCAGTCTCAAGAAATGAACACGCTCTACCGTTTCTGGTCGTTCTTTTTGCGAGACAACTTCTTCACACGAATCTACAGAGAGTTCAGACGCCTGGCTTTGGAAGATGCGGAAGCGGGATACCGTTATGGATTAGAATGTCTTTTCCGGTTTTATTCCTACGGTCTAGAACGACGTTTCAAGTGGTCTCTGTACAAGGATTTTCAGGTGTGCTTCAGATTTTGTGCTTTGCCCATTTCGAATTTCATCTACCATTTATCGTGNCCGCTTTTTATTTGGTTCATTCAGTTAAATTCTTACAACTATCAACAACGCACTTCCGTGCGCCGGTTTTTGTTGCCCATTTGGATAACAGGACGGAATGAAGATTAGAGTGTTGAAAGTAAATTCAAGCGGAAGATAGCGAATTCATATAGACTTATGTTACAATAATAATGAGTGGGTTCTTGAGCGCCACTGTTTGCGACACCCAGCCATA